GCAGCTGTTTATTACATTAAGGGCTAAATAGGTGTAAGTCACTCTTCTTTTGTGTACCATCCCTCAACTCTGTATTTTTCACCCATAAAAACCTCTCATCATTTGTCTGAAACTGTGCAGAAGCAGGTGGCTGCCGTGGAAGAAGGGGTCAGAGCCTAGGCTTCACTGTCAACAAACTAGAAGTCTTGTGGTTTGCAGTGTTGAAACAGGCTGAATCATTCATGCCTTAAAATGACTTCCCCTTAAAATGACTTCCCACAGTTTTGAGGACCTGGGAGGAAAAGAACCTCAGTGTGATGCAGTGAAAACATGATATCATCTTCCCACAGAAATGTCAAAGTTAAGTACAGCACCAGTCCCAACACGACAAGCAGGGCACAGGTCTGCGCCACGCGTTCTGATCCATCTCGCTGTAACGAAGACACGCATACCTGGCTGGCCAGTGAAAATCCCTAATATGACTGTAGGAAAGATTCCTCTGCTGAGGTTTGGCTTTTCTCCCCACTTTCCAGAGTGTTTTAGGACACATTCTTTGGATTTTCTCTCCAGTCGGTTCTCGGTTTTCAACATTTTTCAAAATGTTCAGAAAACACAATATTGACTAAAGGTTACCAAATACCACAGTTTTCTAAATCTCACCCATTCTGCTTATCTCCAGCTAATGGAGTTATGTCCATATGCTTGCATTACCTTTCAAACAGCAGTTATAAGTACTGAAAATTATTTTAGGTTCAGGTAGGATGTAGAATGAGGATCTGAATGTAAAGTAACCGTAAGAAGAGCTTTAAGATTTTTTGAAAAATAGCCAAAGTTTAAGCTGCTCACGTTTACTTCAGGTTGGTATTCCATAATCCTTTAATGTCAAAATGAAAGGAAACTTTTTAATTAACTGGTGCAGGAAGAATGTCAAGTTGGAAACCTCCTCTCTCACAGCACAATAATCCACGTCAAGTTTCTGAAATATTTCAGTTGCTTATATTGTTACATCTGGTACAAATCCAGTGAAAAATAATCCCAAATTTCTCATTATCTTAGTAATGCAGAAGCCAGATACTCCAATGAATTATTAAACCGTGCTTTGACGGCTTATCGCGTTTTGACAACCTTGAGTACATACACAAGAAAGTTGCTAAGAAATCTCAGGATTTTAGACGGTTTTGCTTAAAATTGAGTTGAGCAGTTGTCCATCTCTACATAACTTTAAAAGTATGCATAAAGACTTTTGTATCATTATATTTGCTTTGTTTTACATTAGAAATAGTGTACGATAGACACATGCAATATTTAATCTGACAACTTATCACCTAAATGGTCCATTTTCATATGTCAAATTTTCTGGCCAGCTTTTGCTTACAGCTGATGTCATGTTATCCAATTCACTGAACTCCATAACATTACAAAATGACAAACACTTGACAGCAGAAATTTAAAATGTTGAAGTTCAACACATCTTAGTGAGCAAAACATATTTCAAAACGACATTTAGAAATACTGATGACTTTTAAGGGTTGCAGCAATCCTGCAGAGTGCAATTGTAAAATTTAATCTATCACAAATTTCGTCAGAGCTGATTCTTAAAATCAGTTTGGCTTTTGACACACATATTTTGCTGATATAAATCTAAGACTACAATACACAATTAATGGAATATGCTTATAGCTATGCCTGAAATGATCACACAGCATAAGTGAAGCTGCAGATGGAGTGTGGCTATTTTCAGCTACTGCAAAATATGGACAATCTCTCCTGCTACTACAATTTCACGCACAGTTAGCTTCACCTCCATTTCATCCTTCTATGTTTTACACACCAGCAGCACTCTGCATCTGACAGACTGAATCTTAAAACTTGCAGCTGTCTAAAGCAATACTGTTTAAGCTAGCTTCCGAATTAGTAAGAAAGCCAATACGATTTTTTTTTCCATTTTACCCACAGTACCAATATGGAGTAATTAAAATATCTCACTGGACAGGTGTCAGCAGAAGTTAAGAGCAAGACAAATACTGAGCAGAAGGAGCACCTCACAGCTATTTTCCACAATGTCAATTCACAGAATATTGGACCAGTAACAAGACCAGAATTAATAAACATCTTCCAAGGATATGAAACACTTGATATCTGTAAACATCTCATTTGAAGTTGCAGTGATGCTGTTCAGCACAAAGTATTTTTAGAACTGGGCATATTTCACAGCTCATTTCTGAAAAGTAACAAGGATATGTAAAAATTCTCTAAAACTCAGGCACAATTCATGCAATAAACTATCTCTTGCTTTCTCTATTTCCAAAACTTGCCAAATATGTCTAAGACGAATTTACTTAAAATCCGGAAGCCTGCCTTGGAATTCTTGTAGTTTACAAGTCTATAGCACAGACCACAAACGTGCAGTGCCGCATGGTGGGAACAAATATCTGCTCACAAAATGAACAAGCTAGGTCATATACTAGAACCATGGTTCAGAAAAACATACTCATCTACTTTGAGGATGATGGTCAGGCATGTAGTCACAGAATTAGCAAAACCCAGAGCACCTCTGCTCTAGAACTCAGTAACACATAACATTGCTAATCAGCAAGTCAGACATCTTGCATCCAGATGCAGGTTTTAGAGCAAGATTTAAAAAAATTCTTCAAGCAAGAGGGTAGGAAAACAGCTTTTAAGATTTTTAACATCCATTCACTCTCAACTATCAAATTTTCATTTGAAAGATTGCTATTATAATCTGAAAACATTAGGCAGAATGAAAAAATAAAGCAAAAGGTGGCATTCAGTTTTTCTATTCTATACATGTATCATGAAAATACTACTTTAGTGAGAAGCTGAAATAAATTAGCTTGTTAATTTTCATGTAAGAATAAAATCGTAAACTCAGTTACAGACACTTATTACAACCAGCACTATGTTAAAACAAGTCAATCCACAATGTGATGATTCTGAATACAGTTTGTTAGGATAATATCTGTGGCCAGTTCTCCCAACACTGATTTTCCACTGGCTACGAGTTAAAAAAAAAAAAAAAAAAAATTCAAAAATATTAACAAATCCAGAATATACATTTCTAAGCAGTGGTATGGTATAAAAAAAAAAAAATCACCTTCTAAAACTTCATTAAAAAGAATATTAGAAATGATGCTGTAATCTAGCACTCAACCATATAACCATCATGTTAGAGCAATGCAATATTTCTATTCACACACAGAGTATGGAAAGCCTGCATTCAAAGCTGGCCATGAAAAAGCATGAAAATAGTATCATAATCATTCCTATAACTCAAGCTGATACTTAACATGCTAGCTCCAAATCTCAAGTATAACTTGTATTAATTTTTTTCCAAAATGTCACAGAAGAAAAGAGAAAATTATGATCAAGATGTACATTGAATTGTGCTATAGCTACAAATTGTTCACACCTACTACAAAGCACAAGCAGAAAATTAAATTGGGTAAACGAACACAAACAGATTTAAAAAAACAACTTATAATTTATAATCTCTTAGTTGCAAGGAGTATACAACAAATCTGGTTCACTGTGAAGGGACTGAATGACCTTCAGACCCCACCCAGTCCTATGCTTTTTATTCTACTCCATTCGGCATGACTACAATAGAAAATGTTTTAAGACTAAAAATACTTACAATGTAAAGCCCTGACCACAGAATGGCATTTTATTAGTGTTTACACAAGAATTGCAATTATCCACCTGGTGAGATCTAGGTCTGATTCAGGATAATTAGTAAAATATCCATCGATTTAAATTTTGTTGTTCGATCCAACTTTTATTAATGCATTGTTTAGAACACAAACTTACATCCCTGAGTATATTACTGATAAATTGGCAAAGACAGATTTTTCCATTTTCTAGAGACAAACTTTAATTTACAAGATTCATATATCTAGCAAAGAAAAAGTCCTAAATATCAAGTCCCATAATGATTGTACTGAAATATTGCTACAAGCATTCTTTTGTCAATATATGAAAGAGTGCAATTTACAGTCTTACCTCTTACCTTAGTAGTCTCTCAATATTAAGGAACTATTAATTATAAACTCTCTGCAAATCTCAAGCACTTGTTTCTTGATATTTAATATATTATACCTAATAGTGTAATCAGTGATTTTGTTAAAAATTCCAGGCAGATTTTTTAAAATATTATGCTGAACTTAATTGACAGGAGAAACGTGTCAGATTTTGTCCTTAATATCGTGTTGTTAATTAATTAGCTTGCTCCTAGCCATCAAATATAATTTCAGCATCTCTTCTCCTTGAAATCTCTGCTTTCCTGACAGTCGACTGTTCTTCAATGTATTCTAGGGTAGTCGTAAACTACAATGTATTTGAAAGCACGTCTTCTTTTCATGACTCTAGGAATTCTTCCTTGCTGTTGTACCTCAAGCAAGACAGGTATTACTTCAGATAAAGGAAAGGTTTTGCCTTAGCCTAACTGACTGAAGCACAGCATGGGCTCTGAGGAAGATCATCACTCGTACTTGTAGCGGTTAGAGCCTCGCTGCTCCCGCTGCTGCAGCAGGGAGCTGAGCAGTCCTGCTTCTGTCATGGTCCTGCCACTCCAGGACAGACCCGCCGGCTGCACCAGCCTCTTGTCCCTCAGGAGGGAGCGGAGCTCCCCTGGGTACTGCACTGTGGGTCAGTGGCCACGCGGTAGCTGCGCCCAACAACACCGCTCTCCTCGTCCTGTTTTTTTGCCCTCTTCAACTTCCACACTTCTTTCGATTTAAAGAAGCTGGACATAGTTCCCATCAGTCACTTCACAGTAGAGAAGGGCTGTCACAGAACCAAAGGATCCTCTGCTTACACAGGGACGTTATTTCAGAGCAGTATGGCACATATGCAAGTCTATACCCTGTGTACATTAGACTACCAGGAAACACTGCATTCTCCTCTTGAGATTATAAACCACATTCTCATATATTTTTAAAGTTAAGCATTTCATAAACATAACGTGTTAAATTATTGTACAAAGGACTTGGTCCAAAACCCACCTTTCTGGTTTCCAACTGAGCTTCTTCTTGGCAGCACTGCCTGCAAAATGGATCCAACTGATTCAGATTGAACTGTCCAAGAAGGTTGCAAGAACTGCATAGCAAGTTACTGGAGAATCCCAGCTCTCTGCAAGCTTCTGATGACACCTGCGCTCCGTATACACTTATCTGAAAATCAATACAATGTCATACTTTACTATTAAATTAGTTGTACAAAAAAGGGAATATTATAAATGCTTTAACGATTAGGAAGAACAACTAAATCTCTTGTGACTGCTTTAAGCCCAATGGTCTGCAAAACTGAGTGCAAAACACCACCTTACTTTGAGCAATGGTATTAAACTAGTAGTGAATTCTAGACACTCATATTATGAATATTTCAAGGTATCAGACCTGCAAAAATTTCCTTTTATGTACACTGCTGACAACCCTACTGTTCTCCTATTGCTAGCTCCAAATGAAAAAAAAAAAAAAGCCCAAACATAATGAACCAAATGAAACACACATGGCCACAGATCTCTAAGGCCACCTCTTTCAAAACAACTTCAGTAAATTTTGTATCACCAGAAACACACTTGGAAAATAAATATTAACGACTAAGCTTGGGAAAAGCACAAGCAGGGACTGATGAAATGGATCAAACTGCTCAAGAAGGTATAAAATGAGGATTTTAATTTCGTGTTTGCATTAATGTTACAAGAAAATTGCATACCAAATGTGGAAGTGCAGATAAAACCTCACAACTCTGATTTACTAGTCATAGATTAAAATAGGCAGCTCAATTACGTGGCTTCTATGTATAACACCAGTTCTGCTTTTAGTTAGTAAAATTGTTTTGGCTGCTCATTATCTCAGCACTTCAACGATATTTGGTTATTGTTTTCACATTCCCACTTCCCTACCCCGGGTCTTTTCACACCCTCGCTTAAAACCTTCCCTTCCAGCTGCATGCTAGTGGGGGAGCAAGAGCGGAAACTAAGAAAGAGGAGAAAGGAGGCAGTTTCCCCAGAGGCTTCCCAGCCCAAGTGAAAGACCTTGGGGAAAACCCACAACACCTAAACCACCAACAAAGCAATCAGTAAGCACCTCTGTGTCCAGAGAAGAGTAATATGATACCAGCAAACTGGACTGCATGGTAACAGACAAAGAGTCAGAAGAATTACGCTGGGCCAAACAGAAAAATAATGAATAAAAACTATTTGTACTTCAGCAAATCAGACTTCACATTCACCCATCATTTAATATATACATTATACCCAAGTAAGGTGGATACAAAACCCACTTCTTCCCCTAATGTGGCCAACCTATACCTAATGGAAAGCCATGTCACTGATGTGACAAACAGGAAATGTTATAGATTAAGGATTGGTACAAAATATTAGGTGCCTCATTATTCTGTTTCTCTGTATCTGCTAAAATGTTAAGAGTGTGAACACAAAAACACACAGAAAATTATTTTGAAATTGTTATTCTGTCAGGCAGAAAACAATTTTTCTTCTTCCTACAGGGCAACGCTATAGAACAACAGCAGGCAAGCAAAAATGGAACCCTGTTCTACTGGAATCATCTACTACTTATCCTTTCTGGGGGATACTGGCAATAAGAAATATAGCATCACCCCCACAGTACAAAAAAATCTGAGGAGGATGCCAAACACTGTGAAAGCGACCTTTCAATTACTGTTCACTTATTAAATTAACAATGGTGTCAGTAGCTACAACAGTTTTCTTGCATCTTGCTACTTGCTGTCCATCCCTTCATGCTTTATTCTCATCTTTTCTTCACTTTTGAATCTGCTCACCTCGAAGCAAAAATGGTATTACTGGCATTATCATTTTGCCTCTCCAGCAACACTTCCCACAGCTCCCAGGAGAGCTCTAGAGCACCTGCATATATAAGGCAAATACTCCCCTATTTTTGGAGAGAACCAACAGAGAAACAAACAGTGTATGAGTGCAAGTAATTTACGTTACAAGAGAATTCCCCAGTGAGGGAATTCTGGTTACACAGTACTCAAACCAGCTTCAGAATAAGACCATAGGGAGGAGAAAGAGGAAGAGGAAAAAAGAGATACTGGCTCTCCCTAGTAATTTTCATCAATTTTTAGGGCTGTAACTATAGCACAAACCCAAAATAATAAGTATACTACTAATAATAAATGTCTCTGTTTAGGATTAGAAAAGAACTCTCACATTTCAGAAGCTAATTTCCCATCGGAACAAGGTAATTTCAGTTACTTCGCCAGCAACACGCCTCATTGCAGCAGCCTTTAAAGGCTCTCCACAAGTACACGTTACACGGCTGCTCGGCTTTCGCATCAGCAAGTTTAACATATTACAGCTAATGCAGCATCGATACAAATTGCTTTAGGACGTACTGAATCGGTATCACGAACAAAACATTTTAACGTGTCTTTTCTGTAACGTCCTGTCACCGGCGCTGAAGTGGGTCAGAACTTCAAGGGCAGCAGGTACACCGAAACAGGGAAAGCTGACACCTGCCTGCGAAACCTGTATGTAGGGCCAGCCTTCACCGCCCAGCTGCCGCTGGGAAATCCAGCCGCCCAGCTTCGCTTCCAAACCTGCTCTCAGCCTCGGTGTGAAGAGTAACCGGGCTCGGGGGCTTTATAACGAGACACAAACCCCATTAAAAATACGCGAGGAAGCCCGTTTATTTAAACACCCAGTCGCCACGTTTCCCGATCTAACGGGGCAAACCGGGGCCGAGGCGAGGGACAAGGCGGAGAGGGGGTTAGGCTTCAAACCGCGGCTGTCGCGGCCTGGCAAAGCACAGCAGCGACAACAGGACTGGGGAGAGCAGAAGCGGAGAACAGCCTCCGACACAGCGAGCGAAGCGGCAGCGGCGGGAAAAGCACGGCGCGACGGCCCGTGGATGGGCAGGGCAGGGCAGGGCA